CTGCCAGGAGAACTGATTGCCTCTCGTCCTGACCTTCGTCGATTACGAGGCCTTCGACAGCGTCAAGACAACGCAGTTCTGTCAACTCCAGTTGATTAAGAAGACCCAGCTTACTTGAGGACATGAGCTGACTTCTATAACGACGGTGCAGCTTTTTCATCCCCTGCTGACCATTCCAGCTGGAAAGGGATTTGACAGGGCGACACACTCTTGCCAAAGCGTTCACTGCAACTTTGTAATGAAGTCGCAGGACTGGGAAGAAAGAGGGAATTGATAGGAGATCCCTTCTGAACCTTCGTTTGCGAACGACGTCGTTTTCTTTTCGGATGGTATCTAAGCGGTGACGATGCTATAGAAACTCCACAAATTAGGGAAGAAGATTGGACTCGCGAAGATGCGGAATTGGAATTGAAAGACGTCTTCATCACGGAGACTCTTCTTACATGTATCCCAGCGTTCGACCATGGAGAACGACTTGAGAGAAGAACCTACAGGAGAAAAAGCGTAGCCTGGGCCGCGTTCGGGCTTCGAAGGAATCACTGATCACTAACGGTTGGAGCTTCGATCCCATCTGTTCGCCTCTGTTCTCCTGCAGCTTTGATGTGCAGAGATCTGGTTGATGCTTTACCTACGTCGAAAGCTTTACGAAAACCCACAGAGCACTTAGGCGCATTCTGAAGATTAGCCGACAAAGCGATTTGCGTAGGATATGAGCACTAGGATATAAGAAGCATATTCCGTATTCGTGTACCAGCGGAATACGTCCCGAAAGAGAAGTATCGACGGGTTAGTCACATTATGAGAAGAATAGACGGATAAGAACGTCAACGTGGATTCCTCGCGAGCAAAACATCCTCGACGAAGAACACCAACGAACTGGGCAGTCGGTTGGTAGAACGTTTAGACCAGCTAAAAATAAGCTGGTCAGAATTTCACCTGGAATTCGCGGACGCAGTCATCAGCGCCTATTGGAAAATCATGATTAGAAGTGAGGGAGAGGGACACATGGAAAACAGTGCTAGAGCCAGCGTGTCACGTGAAAATGGTTCATCATGGTTCATCGTGGTTCATCTAAGTATCTAATAGTAAAAGTAAATTCTCAATAGTTATGAGACGGTGCTTTTGAGCATGAACGAGTCTCTCCAGATTCGATAAAAAGATGGGAATTAGCACGACGAAAGCGATGGAGTTGATCTTGCACATACAACGTCGTGATAACCGCAACATCCATGAAGCAAAACCACCTCTTGTGAAAATGCGGTCGATCTTGTTTTGTACTTTCCACTTGGAGTTTTCCCTGCTTAGCTTCGGACCATAATCGATCTCGTTGTCAGTGGGGTGTCGACGGTCTCTTCTCTTGCGTATGTGCTGAAACCCGTGTCTTTTGATGATGTTCCTGGCGACCTTCTCCTCCAATCTTCGCGCTGAAATCGCAGACAAGATCTTGTTCAAGGCGTGACCTCCGCAATATTTTAAGATCCATAGATCCTTGAATTGGTCCTCGTCATAGGTTGATGCTCAAGAAGGCTGTCAAGGCTGGGAACGATCCACATCTCTTTATATTGGTAGCATCATCGGAGTATATAGATACTTAGGTGGTTCGGCTTCACGTGACATGCGAGGCTCAATACAGAAGTTTCCATTTATCCCTGTGCCTCGCTTCACACCGGTTTCTGCGTCGCGAAACTTGTAGTCATT